GTGAGCGGGCTGGAAGGCTGCCAGCCAGTCATTGTTTTCCAGATGACACACACGCGCCCAGTTCTGGCGCTTTGTTTATTTGCTGGGCTGACCCTGAGCCAACTTTCCTCATGGAACTGTTATTTCCTGCCCTAGTACGCTGGTGTGGCAGATCCTCCTCCTTCCAGCCCTCTCGCCCCGGGTCTCTCTTGTCTGCAAGGGATGGGTGTTGGATCTCCTTCCTCAAAACTGGGTTCAAGGGCAGATTTCCCAAGCTGGCTCCCAGCTCGGAGCGACTTGACGCAACGCTGCAGCCAGCGTGCCCTTTGTGGCGAGGGCGTTGTGGGTTTAGTGTGTTAGTTTTTGCTGTGCTGGCCGTGGGGCAGGGGCTGGAAGCCCGGTATGCCGTGGAGGGAGCGTCCGGAGGCCGATGCTGCTGGGCACACGCACCTCCCACTGCCTCCTGCCCCGCTGGTGGTCCAGGTACGAGGGAACGGGGCTGCTCCTGCCCCTACATAAGAGCAGAAAAGCAGGTGTAGGCCGCGAGAGAGAGCGCTTTACTGAAACGAGCTCAGTCTGCGCAGCCCAGAGGCTGCGAAAGGGCGTCTGGGTGTCCATCCCCCCACCCCCCGAGCTGTCCTCCGCGGGGCCTGTGTCCTGCACAGCGCTTCCCACGGAAAGCTGCAGCGTCACCGTGGCCCGGCAGCCCACGGGGACCGAATTGCCCACGCTGCCCTTCATCTTTCATTCTCCGTCCGGGCTGTGGGGTCAGAGAGGGACCGGCTCAGCCTGTTCCCTGCGCTGTCCTTGACAGGAGGGTCGTTGCCCTCTACTAACCGCTGGATCTCTGCCCAGGCCTCATCCAGGTACTGGGATGAATGGATCCATCGGAAGAATAAGCCTAGAAGAGAAGAGGCCGTGCGTTATTTAAGCTGTGCCATAGCCCTGTCGAGAGAGGGAAAAGCGGAGCAGCTTTCCCTCACCCCGTCCAGCTCGGAGCTGAAGATGGGTTTTGGGAGTGCTGTCCCCAGCTTACCCTGCCAGAGCTGGATGCTCTGGGGCTCGACGGAGGGCCAGATGACCAGGGTGTTGTGCGAGTAGAGAGGGTTCAGGTACTTCTTTTTCTCCCCAGGCTGGTTCAGCCAGGGCCAGAGGGAGTGCGTGCTCTCCTTCACTTTACACAGGCACCTACGGGAGAGTTGAGACGCGTTTCAGTCCCTGCCGGGGGTCCTGGGGCCAAGATTGACCCAAGCTGTGACCGGGAGGGCTTCACCGCCTTATCTGGCAGCATGAAGGCAGGGTCTGCCCCAAGGGCATGGTGGTGACCACGGCATGTAAGGGACAGGGCTGTCCCCCCC